AACAGGTCCACCATAAGCACAGCACATCTGTTGCTTGTGTTGACCGTCCACACTTCCAAAATGTCTAGAATTACTGTCAGCTTTTTTTTTATTATTGAATTGAATTGGAACACATATTTGAATTGTCAGCCTAGACATAAATTATAATTACAAATTAAGAAATGGCTGGATGACATCCTCGGATCAATTGACTAGTGACTGCCAAACTGGCTATAGACTAATCCCTTCCTCGGTTTGCAAACGTTCTCCCGGTCTATGTTTTTGTATTTTAAATCAACCTAGAGCGGTGATTTACGTTTGAAATCCGCTCGTTAAGACTAACGAATGCAATCAGCCGGCAAAGCACACCCGCTATGCTCTATTTCATCCATTTTCTCGCAAAAATAAAGGGTTAAACGACAGCGGTAAATCGCTTTGCACTCTATGGTCGTCTTCCGTTGTTTTACTTCCGAGTTTGACCCGAACTCTCTTCGGGCAGGAACTTCCGACAGCGGCTCAGCCATCAAAACAAGAGACGGATGAGACTCGTAGTCCGGGAGTGGGGTGAAAGCCCCAAATGCCGTTATTTTCTGAGAAACGCAATGCGAGTATAGCACCCCTGACCCATGATCGCCCATTTCTTCTCCACAGTGTGAGTCTACATATTTCTCTGGGAAGAAAAACCCCCCGCAAAACGTGAGGTGAAGCGGACGTCAAGGCCAACTGGCTGCGCGGAACCCCGACCTTGCCTGTTGACAGCAGCCGAGGGACACCTCTGCGGCAGCGGGGAAGGCTGCGCTTCACCTATCCGGTAGGTTCAGGAAGGCGGGGGAGGGAGGGATGGGGTGCCGGTCTTTCCCTTTGGGATAGCGATTCATCAGCTTTAGAGGAGAAGCAATAGATCAAACCAAGCGATGAAATATACGTATTAGTGGCCAACAGTGGGCGAAAGCACGCTTGCAGACATATGGTAGCTACCTGTTGTAATCAGCAATTTGGTACCGAAAATGTCATGGTGTTGATACCGACGGACCCGTTGCACAGTCCCGGTGCCATCTCTTTTCCATCTTTATTGAAGGAAAAACCTCTGTTGGGGATATTGCCGTTAATTTTCGTCTACGTGTACTGATGATAAGTAACGAGACCTTACACCTTATTTCAGACACCCCCCAGAGTGAATTATTATTTTTAACTCTCTGAAATACATGTTGCAGATCCTTATTCTAGAAATCTTGGGGTTAGTTGATGAGGCACTTCACGTATAAGCATGGCCGAGATGGTCAGCAGACGTGACGTGTTTTGCAGCCCAGTTAATAAGTGTTTCTGCTTAAAATGAATATCGCCCCGGACCCGTCGGTGACTGATTAGTCAGCAGACCACAGCGAGTGTGTGAAATTTAGCGTTTTGTCTCTCGGTTCACGCGTTTTTATGGGAATGCAGGGCAGATCTCATTGATAACTGGTCTCCTGAGGCTGATTACACGAAGCTTACAACTCGCCAAAGAACCCATGATCCTAAATTCTCAGCCGCATCGATTGTCATAGTCGGGATGATCGTAGTAATTAATGTAGAGTCCTGTTTAGTTCCAGATGTATATTTTAGTCGACCCCACGTAGAAAAAACGTTTGTTTTAGTCATGATAACCACCCATGTGGTTATCTGTCAGTCCTGGGATCTTCTCCGGAAGCCCAGTGATGGTAACTAATATAACACGATTGTTTTAGTGACTTCCCTCTATAGATATATGGCTCTTTTATGCCATTAAATTAGGAGGCAAAACAACTAGAAGTGTTCTGAAATTTCTACTTTCCTCATGGTGAAGTGGTGCCTTCTGTGTGGAGTCTGCGTGTCCCCCATAAGTATCATGCTTGCTGGTTTAACTGGCATCTCGTTGGGCTTGTGTGTGGATGTGCTTCCCAATGGACTGTGCCAATAGTATGGAGGTTCTAAAAATAGGCTAATTCTTGTCATAATTTTTGTTCGCCAGCGATCTGTTAACCAGACCAGGCCAAGATTATAGACTAGGGCCTCCGGCCCTATTCACTTCGCTTTGATAAAGTTTTGATGTTTGAAGGATCTGCTGACATGTACTGTATATATGAGATCAAATACTTAAGAGCCTCTGCTCTTATTCCTGGTTTCCTTCCTGAAGAAGGAAACGTTGTTAGTACATCCTATGAAACCTACCGCTGTAGCCTTGTAAGTATGTCGAAACGTTTCATATAGACGAGAGTAAAAAGTACAGGTCCCTGAGGTACAGTGTAAAAGCCATGCAGGGAAAGGTTTCATATATTTTAATTAAACCCAGATGTAGGTAAGAGTATCTGGCTGCAGGTTTGGACATAATTGAATTGTAACCCCCTTTGATTGCATTACCAAGATTGAGCAAACATCATTATCGCTGGTATCCAAGAGAGACCCGAGAGGCTGGTGTTCCTTTCATTGGCTGTGCAGCTCGATGAAAGAATTTCCATTATTTGAAATGCTGACCCATCTTAGGTTATATCTCATGTGGCTTTCCTGATTGAAATGAACTAATACTGTATTATGGATTACAATTCAGTGTGTGCTTTTATCTTCAGTTGCATTGCTTTAGTTTGTCCTGAACTGTTGTATGTTTTTTTTTCACATGACAGCAATGCATTGTGCTGTTTTTAATCATGTCGATGGTAGATATATAGTTAATTCCTCTTCTAGAGTCTTCATTGAATCTGCCATAGCAGAACTGAGCAATAGAGTTATGTTTAGAAGGATAAACAGTTCCATTCTGGCAAATTAGCAATTAAAGCAGCTGATCTCTAGAGATGTGCAATTTAAACAAACTTTTGAAATGTGAATAATCACAAAAGAAGTTAAAAGCTTTGCAAAATGTAATTTATTTTCAGTCAATAAAGTAGGAGCAAAACAACTATATTCCATGTATATCAGATTAACATAAATTCATTTTAGAAATACCATTTTCTCTAGCAGGACTGCAGAACCTTTAAGTGCCACAATTGAAGCATCCTTCACAGGTTTACTGGCTGTAATTAAGCTACTGACAGGTGTGCGGCTTAAAACTTTTTTTTTTTCCGTTTTGAAGACCCTAATTAGTGATATTCTAAGAATTTGCAAAAGGTAGCTCAAAATTGGTGATAATTGGGGTCAATGCAACCCTTGTCTCAAGTAATGACTTCCCCAAGCATTGACAATGGTGTCCTTATTTCTTTATCTTCATCTATTTAAGTGCTCTTGAGGAGCACTGAAGGAGAAAGCTAGGGATTGCACTACCATTGATGAAGCACATATCTTTGAGTTTTTTTCGTTTTGATGCAGAAGGAGAATATTTTACTTTGCAGTGTGTTCACAGTTACAATACCTGGACTTGTATTTGCTTTGCTTTTGCCGATATTTTGTGAAGCACCCTGGGGTGCTCAGGCAGGAATGGCACAACATAGAAAAGTTTTGTTGCGTTTGCTAGAAAAGCTTTTTGGGCATAGGTGATGCCACACTTTTTGTGTTTTTAACAGGATATTTATAGGGGAACTGCAACACTATCTTTATAGTTCGGGGCTAGAATAACCATTGATGAGTGCATTTGAAACCGCAATAAAAAGTAAAATCTCCACAGTAACTTGTAAAACCTCCAATTTACATCACACAAAATAGAGGACATTTCCAGGTATGCGCTATATTGTGCGTTTCGGAACAAGGCAACAAAACTTCAGTGACGTGTTGCGGCCCTCTTATATTGTAGAGAAGCAGGCTTGTGAATACATCTCCTTCTAGTCCAATAAAAATATTTCTCTGTTATTTTTTCCCCAACAAATGCCACTCGCTTGTTAAATCTGCATGCACGTTGGAACATTCCTGCGATGAAATTTCTGCTGCACAACCTGCATTTAATAGCTCATACATCCCATTACATTAGTCATTATAGTGACTAGTGAGCAGGAAGGGCCGCTTCACGTCACAATTCGTGGAAACTCGGATGCGAGTTTGTGACAACATGGCGATTTCCGGTGCTTTCACAAAGGGCATGTTTTTGTGCTTAATTTGGAAGCCGTAAAATTTCAGGTCTGAGAAA